TAAACAATTGGTTTTTGGATCCATAGAATTGATTTAAATGGAACTAAATATAATGAAAATCCAATTCTCATTAAAGAGACAAAACAATTTTTGTTCTCATTCTATTTGGGCCATTTTGCAAAAACACAAACTTTTGGGCCATAATACAAATACACAAAAGTATCAAAACTTTATTTAATTGCACAAAAGCACCCCACTAGAGGGGTGGCCGGCCATTCATAGATATATTGAGTTTTTGATACAATAAAATTTTGTAAGTGGATTTTGGTGGGTGAGATTAAAGATGGTGGGGATGATTTGAAAAGAAAATATACCTTTGATATAATTAAAACCATTTAATCATTTCTTACCAACAAACATCATCCATTAACTAATATTCAAAAAATATATCTTTGACATAATCATCACCCATCAACTAATATTCAAAACTTTATGTAAAACATAAAACTTTTGAATCAAAACTTCAAAACTTTTTGTTCTTGATAAGAACTTCAAGAAATATGAAGAACATACATGAAAACTCATAATAGCTCCATGGATGTTTTCTTTCATCAAAACTCAAATTTTCACAACTCAAAAGAGGGTTATTATCCTAGGGTACTTAGGGGTTCCAAAAAGCACTTTAAAACCATTTTAACAAGCCTAACATGAACCCAAAAAATCACCCTTTGGATTTGGCCGAAAATCCCAAAACACTTGGCACCAACTTTTAGTTCCATTATTCATGCTTTAATGAAATACATCTACAACATTTGAGATGCTAAATTTTCAAGTAAAATTTATATTCAAAGCAAGAACAAAGCTTGTAACATTTACAACACTTAAATCACAAAATATGAAAAATCACAAAACCCAAAAGGATCCACCATAAACTAGGCCTAGGCTCTGATACCACTTGAAGGAAAAATTTTGTCCTAGCTAAGAACATGTAAGAACATTTGAATACATATGCAAACTAATAACTCTTTAAAGTAGGCATGCATTCAAAAACAATTCATAAAACCCATGACTTTCAAAGCCTAGTATATGGTGAACCATAAGACTCTTTAACAAAATTAAAGAGAATAAGAATTTAGAGATTCTTTACCCTTGAAGCTCATCCTTGATTACACAAGGGATTCACCCAAGTGGAGGGCCTTCAAGTCACCTCCTTGCTCCTTGAATCTTCCTTGTGATTTCCTCCCTTTTAGTGCTCCTTTTCTTCTTTGAGGATTTGAGGATTTGTTCTCCAAAACACCAAAAGTTTAGTGTCTCTAAGTCTCCACACCAAAGATGTTGTGTGAAGATGAAATGGATGACTTAGGTAAGAAAGATTGCTAGATGTTCCTCACCTAAGGTAATGAGAGAATAGGTTTCACCCAAATTCAATTAGAAACCCCTTAGGGTGAAATGGCTATAAAGATGTATTTATACCACCTCACAATGGAGTGGCAAACTTGCAATTAAGCCAAGTTCACTACCCTTAAGGTTATGGCCGGCCATTTAATGTTTTTGGGCTTAATTGCCCATTTTGTTTTAGTTGTCATACAATCTTAAACATAATGGGCCTTGTGGGCCAAAACGTTTTTGTGCCCCGAAGCCCAAAACTAACTTAAACGCCCAATACGAACGTTTCGTATAATTAATTAACTATTTAATTAATCTTGACCATTCTTCAATTAAACCATTTAATTGCTTATCCATTTCATATAATTTCTTCACTTATATCTTTACTCGGTGTACGATCCATTAGGTTCCAATTAGCGAGGTAGTGGGCGATGTTACTCTTAACGATCGATTGTGAATTGAAACCACATTTCAATTCTCCCTTAAATTAGTGTTTGCTAATCTTTAGGGCTTCCACAAACCATGGGTGACGCCTAGCAGCATGTCATGGTTACCCAAGCTAAGTAGAAGTGGTTGGAGAACCTATCCAGTTACAACTACAATGCAATACGGTCCTTCTCTAATACAATACTCTTAATCACATTGTTTGAGTGATAGTTTGTTTCATGTCTACTATCCAATGTGATACTTCTTTATATGATTCAATCGAATAAGATTTGGAACATCTTCCTTAGTCATATTCATATGCTTTGGCCAAAGACTCTCGAATCATATCTTAGAGTATTCTCCTTCCATCATGGAAGGTTAGAGATCCCTTGTTGTACATTCATATGCCTACATGACTAGATAGCTTGACCCCAACAATGCCGTGGACACTCCAATGGAATGCCGTTGACATAATCAAAGATCAAGGACCTAACCATTAGACATCAATGATGCCTCAGGTCAAAGGACTACTTTGCATATTGCAACTATTGAGTTCTCACATGACATGTATGTTCGAACTCTTGTTTGATCGTAGTTCAGTGTACTCGATTACTCTTTCGAGCACCTATGTGTTTGCCTTAGTGTCCAACACCAAATGACTTGAGACTAGTTCATACTCACGCTTGAGTCGACATAACACATACTAACCTTAGCGGATTGTCAATGCCCAATTGGCAATCCTATGGCTAGGAACGTTTTAGGAATGAACATAAGAGAAAGGTCTCGTTAATTTAACTAACTTAAATCACTTGTCTCTTAGATCAAATACATTCCTTGGATTCCCTTATTGCTTAAACACAAGATACTATAAATAGTGATTAACAATAAGCTTTGCCCTTCTATTAAACATATAAAAGTTTAACACAATAAGTATTCCAAAAAGCTATTACATCAAATGAGTGGCTTTGTGGGCATACTTCCAACACTATAGCCCTACAATAAATTATATTTTAATGAACAGTGCTATATCATATTTTATACCATCTTCAACCAAGGGGCCCAAAGGGTCATAGGCCAAACATACCCATTTGACAAAAAAACTATCTCCAACCAAGAGGGCCGAAGGGCCATAGCTCATAGGCCAAACATAATTTATTATTTTAATTAAATTAATCTACCATATTAAACTAAGGTTCTCAGACATATTTTGAGTGTCACTTGTCGCTAAATGAATAAGCCCTCGGATTTCTTATCTTTATATAATCTCAATAATTTTTTGAATATGATTTCGAGTGACATGTGTTGTTGACATGAGTAACTCTTCAGATTTCTTATCTTTATGCAATCTCAATAATTTTTCGAATAAGATTTTGAGCGACATGTATAGTTAAAGTGAGTAACTCTCCAGATTTCTTATATTTATGTAACTTTAATAATTTTTCAAATAGGATTTCGAGTGTCACGTGTCGAGTTGTAATTGGTTGTGCAAATTTTAGATAAGATTTTTATCTACGTGACACTTTTTATCTTCAGCTTTCAATGTTGTAAGAATGGTGTAGGTATTTATAGGAAAACAAAAATTAGATTTTATTTTTTTTTAAATTCGTCCAAAAAACAAAAATCAAATTCCAACGATGACCTGACGGCATCATGATGTTAGCTAGTTGGTGTCATGCTAACGCCAAGTAGCCGTTGACATTCAAATGTGTTGAGGTGGAGGGCTGACAAAATATCAAGCTTGACATTCTGGCGTAAAAGGGCTGGTTGGAAATGGCCAGCCCGCTGGTATGATTTGGGAATTTGGATCTGATGGAGCCCTCGATTAGAAACGATTTTCGTGTAATTCCTGAATTATTTTTAGTCATATGATCATTTGGCAAGGTCGGTTGGAGATGACCTTATTACACGAAAGAAGGGCAGTCGATCAAGAAACTTGTGAAACATGCATCCTCGTCATCCTCCTCACTTGATCACCAATATGTGCCTCGTCCTCCTCCTCGTCCTCCTCTTTGCCCCTGCCACCGCATCCATGTTCTTTCCCTCTGTCGTCGCATCCACTTTATTTCCCTCTGCCGTATCGGTACTACGTTGCTGCGGTTGTTTTTATCCCGTTGACGTCAGGCACCCCAAATGAACACAGCTGGCGATGTTCTCCATCTCCGAGTGCAACAAAAAGCAATCGCCATCACGGCGGTCAGTTCCCCAGAATATTCGTTGGTTTTCCACCATCTGGTTGGAGCCGAGTCGCAGGTCGTAGCAGGACATAATCATAAGCTTTTGATCAGGGCGGTGAACGAGTCGTTGCCTGCAGGCAGCCCACCTCTGATTTACGAGGCTACTGTCTGCGAGTGTTCCTGGCAGAATATTAAGGAATTGAGGTCGTTTGTTGGAGTAGAAAATTCATTTATTGATGGATTATGGAACAGTATGCTTCATGGAGGGAAGGATAATGTCTAAAGTTCGAGCTGCTTTTAAGTTCATAATTTTTTAAATTTATTTGCGAGTATAATGTTAGTATATGTTTTTACCAGTTTACTTATAATTTTACATGTGAAATGTTAAATTCAATATTCTTTCCGAATTCAAATATGGAAATTTTACTAGCAATGATCATTTAACTTTAACTCAATTGGAGCGTTAGTTTTCAACTAAAAATTCGTAATTATTGGTTCCTGAACTCATCAAACCGTGCAACTTTGGTCGTTTTTGTTAACTCCATCAAAATAGTTCTGATGAAATGATCATTCATACAATTAGGTTACAGTTGAGGGACCATTTCTGCAATTGAGTTAAAATTAAGAGTCATTGCTCTAATTTAGTTAAAGTTGAGGATCATTGATACAATTTTTTTCATTTTGATTTTCCATATATTCGCCCCTTGATTATGTGACTTATTTTAACGAAAACTTTGACGAAATTGACGAAAATGACCATAGTTACACGTTTTGATGAGTTAAGAACTAATGATCACATATTTTTAGTTGACAGAATCATAGCTTCAATTCGGTTACAGCTAAGGGACAACTGCTACAATTTCCTCTTAAAATCATGATGAGAAATTCAAATAGATAGATACATATATATACATACAATGGATGAATAAATAAGTTACGAATTCGCAATTCACGAAATTTAAACATAAAACGTTTCATTTCTAAGTAAAAAAATATCACTAAACATAATACCAAACGACACAGTTAAGTATATAGATTGATTCGTGCACATTTTATGCAATTTTTGAATCGCTAAGAGGATTATCCAGCAAGAACAAATATAGGTAAAGATGTTATCTTTTGTGACAGTGGGTCTGAAAGTCACATCGCACTCACCAAACCAAACCCACGACTGTATGCGGCGGTCATGAATACTGAACCAGACACTTGCCTCTCGTCTCTCAGGTCTTAGCTGTTTCACCAAAACTCCACAGTCAAAGAGTATTACGGACAAGGACACCATGATAAAATCCCAGAAATAACACAAGGCAATTCGCAGAGAGAGAGAGAGAGGGAGATGGCGGATAGTTCCGGTTACAAGGAGTACTTGGCAGGCTTGATTGCCGGCGTGGCCACCGTTGGAATCGGCCATCCCTTTGACACCGTCAAGGTAAAATCACATTGTTTGATTTTGTTAACTTTCAGTGGGTTTAAAGATGGTGAGGTTTACTTTAATGGGCATTGCGTTTAATTTCATTTCAATTGTAATTTGATAGAATTTGGAAGTAAAATCGATGAACAATGCCAAAGTTTAATTTTGGGAATCTGGGTAATTCAAATTTTGACTGAAAATGTTGGATTGGTTTGATATTAATGAAAAAACAAAATTTTGATGATATACTAAACTTGGTTTTAGTAGCAACTTACAGAGCTTAATTTTACTTTTGGTAGATATACATTGTTGGCCTGTTTTCTTATTAGCTTAATATTTTGTTAAACTTACCATGGCCCAAGCTGTAATCTTTCGATTAATCATCGTCAGCATAGATGGTGCTTTCAGGATATTGTTTACGTTGAAGATTATCTTTTGTGTACTCTGAGAATGGATGAAAATTGAATCATTTCTCTTATTTGTAAAATTGTGCCTTCAGCTATGGTCGTCTTGAAATCGAATTTCTTATGCGTGGAATACTTATTGAATTAGGTAAAGATGCAAAAACACAACACTTCAGCACAAGGGATTACGTACAGGAATAGTTTGCATTGTACTGCAAGGATACTAAGGACTGAAGGGGTATGATTCTGAACTTTCACATGTTAGTTATCTCTAACGTAACGATCTAGTGTTGTTTTTTTCTCTTTTGGAAAGGGTGCTGATGTTATAGAATTTGAACTTTCGCATTATCCTTTCCAGTTGAGCTGACTGATGTTGGGTCCTTGACAGATTAAAGGACTTTACAGGGGGGCAACATCATCTTTCGTGGGAATGGCTTTTGAGAGTTCACTCCTTTTCGGCATGTATTCCCAGATGAAACAGTCACTGCAGGTTTGAACAGAAACCAAGTGGATAAACTTTGTTGCTGTTTGCAATGATCTGGATAATGGCCTCTGTTAGATGCAAGATTATGAACCAGTGATGCATGATTATGAACCAGTTTAATGACTTTATCGATATGATTTCTATAAAGATATTGTGTATCTGTCATATGGTTCTGATGTGGTATTCTTATTAATCCTAATGACACTTGAAGGGAAGTGCACAAGGTGTAGGGCCACAGCCCCAGGTCATAATTCCATCTGCAGCTTATAGTGGAGCAGTCATCAGTTTTATATTATGCCCGTCGGAGCTTGTGAAGGTAAGCGGAATTGGAGGGTTTTCATATTGTACAGTTGCTTTTTGCAGTATGCTTATTACACTGAGCTTTTCCAGTGTAGGATGCAAATTCAAGGCACAGACTCTGTGGTTCCAATGTCCAGAAGATATGGCAGTCCTCTTGATTGTGCCCTTACAACTGTGAAAAATGATGGGGTGAGAAAATACTGTGCTTTCTGGCCAGCATAATTTTTTGATGATCTTTGTAGCTGATGGAATGCTTTTCAGGTCAGAGGAATTTTTCGAGGAGGTTTTACAACATTGCTAAGAGAAGGTATTGGGAATTCAGTCTTTTTCAGCGTTTATGAGTATGTCCGCTATTTCATGCATTTGCAACTGAGGTCTGCTTCACCCGACCACAGAAACTTGATTGATGTGGGAGTTGGGATTGCTAGTGGAGGCCTTGGTGGTATAGCTGTATGTATCTTCACAATTTGTCCTTCTCTAGTACGCATGTTCACATTTAATTCCACTATTTTAAATTCTCATTTTCTTCATTCCCTACTTCCAGTTTTGGTTGGCTGTTCTACCCTTGGATGTGGCAAAAACCATAATTCAGACGACTCAAGATAAGAATTCTTCGAGAAATCCATTTTATATCCTGAGCTCGGTAAGAACACCTCCCTCTTTCCCCCCACCCCCAGCCCCCAATATCTAAATGGACTCAAACGAGCCTTTTCTTTTCTCCTCTGTAGATTTACAGAAGGGCTGGATTGAAAGGATGCTATATTGGCTTGGGTCCTACTATTGTTCGGGCTTTTCCTGCTAATGCAACCGCAATTGTCACCTGGGAGGTGGCCATAAAACTATTAGGCATCAAGCGCGACTAAGGATTCTCTTCTCTACAACAACCAAATGTGTCTAACCTATTTGGCAATTCCTGAAGCACATTTAGCCAGAGAAAATTCTTTCACCCGGACGAACTCCTAGGATGTACTGTGCACTTTTTTTTGAATTAAGGAGTGCTTAACATTTTTCTACAAGAAAATGTTTGGTGATTGTTGTGAGATTGTTTTGTTGGATCCTTTCCAATTGTACTGATTGCGGAAAAGTTTGTATCGACGGATTTCACATATTTGATTGTAGTTTCTGTCAACTGAGATGAAATAGAAACAAAGCATCCAAGAGATTGCTGCCGAACCCGTAATGAATCCATTTTCTGGTACTACAATTCGTCTGCCTCTGTTTTGGTTGCTATTTTTCTGTGTTTGCTTTTACAATTTTTTGAAGGATTGAGCGAAAGAAGGTCCGAACATTGCTATGTCAAATAGTAAATTCGATAACCCTCCCGACCCATCACACCCAAAATTTACAGGTTTACGTTCTATTACGAGTGAATGATGGGTTCATATTTGTGGCTATACTAGCATCAACAAATAATGTACACGTTATAATATAATTAAATTGGTAACATTACTTAACAGTGTGACAGTTCATTTTCCTTTTCCATCATCCGTAACATATAAATGAACACTAGTTTAAGAGTGAGAGCTTGGAAAAAGATATCATGATAATGCATGCTGAACAGTTGAAATACTGATATATTAAAGCATGTGAAGAAAACAAGAATCATCATCACCAACTGAACAGATCAAACAATGTAGGTTTGTTTCAAATTACAGCCAAGAAATGAACAACAAACATTAAGGATGGAAGTTGTGCTAGCAAAGAAGCTATGCATATTTGTTTGGTTACAGATCAATGCAAGCAATTCTTCCTCGAACACATACAACTAAAAGAGAGAGAGAGAGAGAGAGAGAGAGAGAGAGTTCACTGGTGCATGATCAAGGCTGAGGGTTGACAGAAGAGAGTGAGCATAAGTGGAAACAGGCATCTACGTGAAAGGATTATATATATCTAATTACTTAATTAGACGTGCCTCCATGTCCATGGTATTCCGATGAAGTTTTCCGACGCCGCTCATTGTGTCCAGCTAATCGCCTGCGACAACTCCTTTTACTGTCATCAAACTCTGATAGGCTATGAAACCTGTCGATGCACCACCATTCATTCATTATTCGAGTCATGAGTGTGCTTTTTAAAGTGCAATTAAATGCACCTTTCTAAAACTGCAGTGAAGTTTATCAGCGACGTATCGACAATCTTATTGTCCGTAAATAAACTATAAAGTCACACTATCAACAATATCAATAATATCGATGACATATTCACTTTAAAAAAAATACAGTTAAACGCACTATAGAAAAATACATATATGTGTGTGTATATATATAAGTTATGCAGTTCTTTATATAAATTTAATGGTTCATGAAATTAACAGAAATTATATGTCTACATGAATAGTAATTAGGCAACAGTTAAGAAAGCCTTTTAGATTATCTCCATATATAAGAAATGGCATGAAATTGAAGGTGTGGGGTTGTTGCTGTTCCCCCTCCTTAACGCCATTTGACAAGTTTAATTCATACTGATTCTGTGACCTACTACACATCAACTCTTACCTTTTTGGTTAACCAAACTATAAGCTATTTGGGAACCCTTTGTTTTGAAAAGACTTTTAGGGTTTGGAAAAACGGAAGACTTATCATGAAACCCTACATTTCACTGCAAAAGAGCTTTCTGTAGGGTCGTTTTTTTTTTTTTTTTTTTTTTTTTTTGGCTTGATAAATAAGCATCCACATGAGAGAAGAACTCATATAGATGAAATTTGAGAGAGAGAGAATTTGAAGGTTGTCTAAATGTTTAAGAAATAGGGTTGTTATTGGCAAATCTGAAAAGGTCCTTTTGTACTCTAATTTTCAAAAACATGAGAAAAAATTTATACAAAGAGTGCACGAAGACAATTTTAGAGTACCGATAACAATACCTAATTAAAACGCAAAATTTGATAACATTAACCAATATAAGATAGAACATAAAGCAAGAAGTGAAATTCACAAAACCATGGTAGTTGAAAAAGATGGTTCTAAAATTGTTACCTGCTACATTGCTGGCAAAAACGCTGCCGGAATCCACCCACAACTATCGACGAAGCCTTGGCATGAACATCACAGACCTTGTGGCGGCGGTAGTATTGCTTTAGATCACTCAAGTCAGCAGTGCAATTATCTACCTGACAACATGGCCCTGCCGTAGATCCTCCTGTACCAGATCTTCCCCCTGAAGGAGTAGCAGCAGTACTATTCACCATCATCACTCTTGTTCTCCCCTCATCCTCACCATACACAATTGATGGTCTCCTACTCCTACTTTCTTCCTCCTCCTCCTCCTCCTCCTCCTCCTCCTCCTCCTCTTCCTCTTCCTCCTCCTCCTCTTCCTCCTCCTCCTCCACCTCGTATTTCGACATGGTCCTCTTTCCATGAGCTCTGCCTGAATCCATATTTTTCAGACGAAGAGAGAAGGCAAGAAATAAGAGAAGTGACGGAATAGTCAAAGGAGAAGTAGACTAAAATGAAAACATTGATCATAGATTCATACAGCAAAGGTGTAGAAAAAGGAAGAGAAGTATGTGTGTGTGAGGACCACAAGTTCCATTTTGTTCCCTTGTGAGCACAAGTGTAATAGTGAATTGTAGCTCTAAAGCCTAGATTAAAGCCAAATTTTATTTACTACAACAACACATCATCTACATATCTGATGTTAACACTACAACAACACAACCAAAATTCAAGCTCATGACCACTAATTAACTTTTTTCTCTCAACCTAACCTCAATTTTCACCCTTAATGCTCTTTTAGAGGTGTTTCGCCATAATTTCATTTGGAAAATCACTTTGGGTAATTTTATGGAGAAGCACCACTTATAGAGCATGTCTAATGGTAAGGGCAAGGGTCATGGGCTAAAGATAAAATCTAGCCTCCCAAACTGACATCATTCATGAAATCTATCATTTCAAATTTCCTTGTTCTAACGATGAGAGAGGCTAGAGGCTAAAAAGTGTTAGTTGGCTCATTTTCATTGGCTCCCAATATTGTCCTAAATTGCCCTCTTAAGAAGTCTTGGGCAAGATCTAGGGCTAATTTGGCCTCACAACTAGCCTTGGGCTCCAACTAGCTTAGGTTGGTTCTTGGTTGGGTGCATAAGAAAGCTTTTCTTTGCAACTTAGGGCTCGATCTTCTTCTACCCTAAGCTAAAAGCTATGAGTTAGATGTGCTCTTATATGCTTCTTCTCATTCCAAACGATCCCCTAATTACTAATTATATAAGGTAGCCACAGGCACGAATTAGGTCACTAAATTTGGGGTTGACTGAGCCATCTAGGTGAGAGACGAGCAATTTTTCAGTGTGACTGGTATACGGGATGTTACATCACGTATCATTATATAAATGGTGGGATATGTGTGCTAAAAAGTTAATAACTTAAAAAATAAAATTTCCCACCACTTCTATTAAAACACATGATGTACTATTTGTGTTCTTGTCACAATTAAAAATTTCTTGTGAGAGACGAGGAGGCTAGGGGTGAGCTAGAGCTAGGTTATTTCGTAAGAATATTTTGTAATTTGAGGTGGACTGGAGCACACATAAATGTGTGTGTTCATGCATGTGTGACTATTGCGCCATCTAATTTTCATATGAACAAGACTTGGCTACTGAAGAATCAGCAGCCCTTCCTGCTGAGAGCCAATCACGGCTGAATATGTGTCCAAGTTATGATTTTTTTTAATCACAACTTGGACACGTGTTGCGCCATGATAGGCTCTCAGCAGAAGAGGCTACTGATTCTTTCAGCAAGAGGGGCTGCTGATTCTTTTAACAGCGAAGTTAAATCCTTTTTATATAGAATAGAGTTTATGTCTAATCCAATCATGGAGCAAAAGGTAACTACACATGTTGGACTTGGATCAACCTAATCAACAACCCAATGGTTGTACAAATGAATTTGATTTGTACATCTGTGATTTTGTTAGAAGCCTAAAACCCTATAAGCCAGTCATATATGTGTGTGTGTGTGTGTATATATATATATATATTAAAGAGTTAGGTTTAACTATATATATTGACAGTCTTTTTCATACAGAGTGCGACGAATCCTTCATTTACATTGTATTATTGGAAGGTGAAAGTGAAAGAGAAACCCTATATGGTCCAATGATGTAGCAAGAGTGCCCTATCATGTTTTGACACATATGGTACTGTATATTGTCTACTATTTGGTGTCCTTCGAGTCTCGCTCATATTTGTTGGCCCCCTCTTCCCTTTCTTTTCTTTTCACACTACATTTTATGGTGTTAGCCAACTGGTTTTGGACGCGGCTTCTCTGCCTTTCCAGTTTCCAAACGCTCTCAACTTCTTTTATTTTGTACTATCACGGTTAAATCACGTTAACATTTTATATTGATTTTTTTTATAGAGATAATAAGACAAAAAGAAATAGTGATATAAAATGTTGACGTGGCTTAACCGTGACCGCACAAATAGGAGGGAATAAGAGTGTATGAAGTAGAGAAGCCAGGTCCACTGGTTTTTGCAGCAATGTATGTTAGCCAGCTGCTGTCGATCTTTCTCTATCTTCTTGGACCACACAGTACTCGACTATACGTTGTCGTTTGTAAATAGGAAAAGGTCCCCCTCTGTACGATCCAACCGATGAGCAGGTTCTTGTGCAACATAGAGCATGGATGGGCTTATTAATGTATTGCACTACATGCAAATCTAATGATCTTTTGATTGTGAACATAAAATTAAAAAAAAATGAGGAAGAGTCTTGCACCGACCGACTATGATCTCTTCTTTTGGTTACCAACTGAGACGGCACATACTTAACAATTACGATACTTACTGTACATGTTCAATTGTGTCCAAATTCGTAGAAATAGATAACGTATCAATTGGGATTTGAAAAGTGGCTAGGTTGCCCTAGCATATGAAATTTAAAGGTAGAAAACTTATATAGTGGGAAAGAAAGAATGGAAATGTTTTTTGAATTTCCTCCAAACATGTAGACCTAAATAATTGAGTTTGAGTAGATAAATTAGTGGGCGAGGAGCCTTCTGAAGAAAGGACACACTCACAGAATGCATGCACCATGCTTTACGCATCCCATCACATCATTTTCCCCGACTTTGATTTTTGTTTTTGGACTTGTCGATACGCATGGCATGAGAAATTGAGAACGACTTCTTTGTCGTGACTTTCGATACACTAGTGTGACATTTCAAACGAATAATATGTTATGTCAGGTACTTCTATGTTCACAGATGATGTTGCATTTGGGCCCCATCTAGTCCACTAGGGACAAAAACCTTAGCTGATCCAAGATTCTTGACCCATTTTTGTTAGCCTTACACTCTTAGCCCAGTTTTATTTGGGTTACAATCTTACATGCAGTTCCAACCCAGTGGTGGCGAAAGTCATGGAGCCTTTCTTGTTAGGCAAAACTTGCTCGACATTGGAACCAGTAGTCATTGCGGCCTCAATATATAAGGCAAAAGTTGTAGGCCCAAATTATCCCAGCACAAATATGCACCTAATTAGAGGTCGGGGACCACACAATGTGGAATACGCTTGTAGAGTTACCACTAATTATAGGGCCGGGTTAGAGGCTTCTCTCAGAAGGATTGGGGTTCAAGTAATTATTATATGGTGGTCTGTCAAGTAATTCCACGGTCCACAGAGAGGTCACACTTATTTTGAGGATAAAAGATTTGTACTCAGATCATAACGACCCACGCATATTATGCATGCATTGAAATTTATTGCAAGTTTAATAATAGGTAGAGAAAAATTTGGCTAGTTGTCGAAGAGAGTTGTGTTTTTATACAAACAATTTGTGGGAGGGGGATATTGAATTTAGAATTTCATGTGCATGGATTGTGCTCTTAACCAAACTCAACTATAAACTTCTTGTAAAGAGAGATTTTGTAGTAAATATTTGTTATTGATCATATTAACCATATCATTTGAGTTTTTTTTTTTCCGTGAAAAGTTAAAGCTATAAATTTGAGTTTTATTATTCAATTTACTTAATGTTGAAAGAATGATAGCATCATACCAATCAAAGGGTGATTTTGTTAATATTTAATTAGAGATATATTCCCGACCAAATGTCCAACCTTTGCATGTCACGAAGGTTGAAGAAAGGGTTAATCACACCTAAGGACAATGTTTGGCATAATTACCTCTCTCTCATCATAATTACTTCTCATCACCATGCAATGCATATCCACTAATCACATTTACACAATTAGTTAAACATGATATATATCCTCTTTAATTGAGGAGAAAATGAGGGGGGTTGAGGGTGAGACACCTTGAAGTGCTATAGTACCACCCTCACTATCATAATCAGCAGGATCGGCGCTGAGGGGGTGCAAGTGGTGCTATCGCACAAGGCCCCCAAATCGGAAGGGTCTCTGATTTTTCAATTTTGCATGCATATACGTATATATAGTAGTAAGTGTAGAATATTACAAACTTGAGTCTTAGCGCAAGTGGAATTATTGTTTCTTTACATCGGCCTAGGGGATGGGTTTGAAACTCATCTCCATAATTTTTCAGTTTATATTTTTATTAAATGCATAAGCTTCCACAAAATAATATAAAAAATATACACAATAACATGAAAATTTGAACCCTAACCCTCTAAATAGTTAAGGAAAAACAATACGCCACCTTTCCACTTGTTGATTTGTTAAATTTATTTGTGCTATTAGAATTTATAGAAGCTCAATTCAAAACTAAAATTATTATTTTGAACAAAAATATAAAAAAATAAAAATTTTAGTACTTTTTAGGACCTCCAATTCACTTTCACACAGTGCTCCTGAAATCTTAAGGCCGGCTCTGATAATCAGATGTCACTAGCCATTTGTCCATTCTGAACAAAGTCAAGCCACAAATATGTGTGCAAGTTGTGGGGAGTCAGCCATGAAAATGAACTGTCTCGTAACCAAAAAAACAAGTGTTGCATAATGATAATATTGATGTTGAAAGATAGGTTAAATAACCACGAACTCTTAATCTAGCAATATTTCCGTCATGCTTCGGACTCGGAATCGGTAGAAAAATTACCATGCACTTTGTGCACGATTAAAAATAAAATAAAAATTTGAAAAAATATGGGATTGAAAATTAATAAACTTCTCGGATATAAATAATTCGAAAAGGGATGTGCTATCCACATATCCCATTTTACTTCTTACACACCCTTTGTCAATTTCTGTCCGTTGATCTTTTTCAATTCATCCGATCCGACGGCCGAAAATTAGAAGGGTGTGTAAGAAGTAAAAAAGGATGTGTGAGAAGTAAAAAAGGGTGTGTGGATATCACATCCCATTCGAAAATCCTTAAATCCCAACTCATCTAATACAACATCAGAACAAAAAAGAAAGAAAGAGTGAGAGGTAAACAACAACCATCGTCACCCAATGAGTACAATATGTAATATGCAATCAAGTGATGTTGTTTTGCACACGCTAGAAAACATGATAAGTACATCAAAAGCTTTAGCTACAT